GGGTTTAGGGTTACCTATAGGAGTTTGAGCTTAGTAATAGGGTTTAGGGTTTAGGGTTTTAGTAACCTCTAGTATAGGGGCCTAAATAATTACCTACTTGTATCTGGGGGGCTCCTAATGATAAGCATAGTATAATGAGCCCCAAAGCCTCATTCTCGGGCTTGTTAGATTTCCCTTCAGGGTTCCTGCTGGGGTTCCCTGAAGGCTTCTAGCAGGGCATCCGTCTTTGTGAGTGAGGTGCAGTCCTTAGGGTTTAGGTTTTAGGGTTTTGGGTTTAGGTTTTAGCGGGTTTAGGGTTTAGGGCCCTAAACCCTGAACCTTGAACCCGTAAGCCTAAACCCTAAACCGCCTGTCCCCAAGATTACGTAATACAGAGATGCATCTCCACTGACAGCGCACTTGCCCGAGTCCCCAAGCCTGCTAACTTAGGGTTCTAGATGGTTTTAGGTTTCAGGACGTTAGGCTTTAGGATTTTCGGGTTTAGGGCTTTAGGGTTGGAGGGTTTTCGGGATTAGAGTTTATAGGGTTTGTGTTTATGGCTCATGTTCGTGCACATGGGCTTGACATGATCATGCTCCGAGACACGCTTTCGAGCCCCCCGACGAATGCTGGGCTTAGACCTCGAACCCTCAACGGGCACAGACTCTGAGCTTTGGGCGCTGAAGCCTCAACCCTAATCCGCAAAGCCTTATAGAACCCATGCAGACCCAAACCACCCTTATGGACCCTCTATAACCCTTATAGGGTTAAGGTTTAGGGCTTAGGGTTCATATGGAACCCGTCTGGAGCCCATAAAGCCGTAAGAAAGTCTGCGCAGGCATCGACCTCGGCGCGGACAAGTCCCTGGGCAAGATAGGTTCCTTTAAAGGGTGTCTATACAAGGTTTCTACATGCTCAGGGCTTTGGGTTTAGTGGAGGGCTTTCCAGGGGAATGGAGTTTGGGAAGAATCGCACTCCATATTCTTCAATGATTGCCAATAGTTTTCTTTCTAGGGCTCCTTATTATAGCTATAGTGCAGTATGCTCAAAAGCTGTATTCTAACTATCAAGACCCTTACATTAGTCTTTTCCTGTCAGGATCCGAGGTTGAGGGTTCAGAGCTCTATGGCTTTAGGTTTTAGGCTCTGGTGTTTGATTTAGGGTTCGGTGCTTTAGGTCTTTAAGGTTTAGGGTTTGGGGGCTTAGGTTAGAGTTGAGTTTCATTGGTCAACTATTTCAGGGTTCAAGGTGCCGGCAGTCCCTCTAGGCTTTGAGGAATATCGGTTTAGGGTTTAGGGTTTAGGAGCCTTGAGCGATTACCGGCTCAAAATCGCTGAAATCAACCGTCTGTCGCAATATAATAGAGTATGTCATGCAACCCTATTTTATTCACACTCTAAAGTTTACTTACTACTTTAACATATCGATCGCCGTAGGTTCCCCTTTCAGACTGCCAGTGCGGGCAAGATCTCCGCACAAGCTCTTGGCTCCTTAACAGACCATATCGGACGCCGGACAGTCGTACGGAACCGCACGAAACCACAAAACCATAGACCCTAAACCCTGGACCGGAGACCCTACATTAACCCTAAACCCCTAAACCCTAAACCCTAAACCTTAAAACCCTCAACCCTAAACCCTCAACCCCTAAACCCCACAACCCTAAAACCTAAGCCCTCTGACCCTAAACCCTGAACCCTAAAACCTGAACCCCACACCCCTAAACCCTAAACCCCTATGTGCCGACGTGGGCCTTACAGCTTGGAAGAAGCCAGCCCCGAGCCTAAGCCTGAAGAGCCCTTGACAATATAAGGGTTTGCTTGGCGTTCTTCTGGTTGGCTCTTAGGACTTTAACTTTTGGGGTTTCTATATAACCCTAATAAGGAGACGTAAAAGTTAGGGTTTGAGGGTTTAGGGTCTGGGATTTGAGGGTTTAGGGTTTAGGCTCTAGGATTTGAGGGTTTAGGGATTTGAGGGTTTAGGGTTTAGGGTCTAGGATTTGAGGGTTTAGGGATTTGAGGGTTTAGGGTTTAGGGCAGGGAAACTTGTTCGACTGAAATC